CTCATCCGATCTCCCGATACCCTCCCCATCACCATCCACCCACCCCCAAATCTGCAAAGGTTTCAACCTCTACTTCGAGCGCTCACCATCCATCCACCTCGGTCCAAACTGCAGAGACGCAGCCAGTCGGACGATAATAAAATGTGCGCTTTGGGGCGAAGGGGTCGAGGAGGAAGGAGCGACGAACACGGGGTATACAGAGTGGGACTTCAATGTTGTTATTGCGGGGTCGAATGGGTATAGACTGGGTGGGGAGAACGCAAAGAGCGTGGCACAGAGGGTAGGAAGTGGAGGGTTGATAGCGATTCCGGTGGCTGTTGTGCTAGGATGGCTGGTCGTTGGGTTTTGATGACGAAAGACGGCGTTGTGTCAGTAGGTGGCCAGGACTTGTAATGCAACACCACGGACCAGACCTAGATCATCTTCGAACACAGCTGAAGAGGACTCTCGGGTATCATTTGGGTCTATTGTGACCTACGTTCCTATGTACAAATACAATTACTGCTCCCCATTCATCAAAAAGACGCTAGAAGCGCGGGTTATAAGTACCAACCGCTTTTCATGGCCCGTATTTCCAAACGCCGGTAATGTGCACAAACATGCTTCTACTAGAAGGCATACAGACCCCGCATGTTCCAGATCGCTTCGTCAATCATGCTGGGTGTCCATTCCGCACCCGTCATCTGCCCAGCGATGCTCTCTCGCTTGTCGCGTGAGAGTACTAAGAAGCGCTCGATCAGATCGCCATCAATGACGCTCTTGACCGGCGCAAAGTAGCTGCGGAAGGCGAGATGATCACGGCCAGACAGCGGCTTATCGTCCGACCGGAGTTGGAGCTCCAGTTGCTGGAACATCTTGTGTTGTCGGCGGGAGTTGAAGGGGATGAGTGCACCAAGCGTGCCTTGGAGACCGGCCCAGAAGATGATGCGCTCACCACCAGACAGGAGAACCGTCTTTTGTATCGAGACAGGGATGTCGTTTGTGAAGTAGTGTGCGATGAGGTCAAGACGGTTCGGTGTACCACCCAGGTAGCCCTTGTCTACTAGTAGGTCGGAGCCGTCGGGCGATTCGTCTGAAGACTCGGAAACCTTCTGGGGGCAGCGCACGAGCCAGATATTACCAAACTTGTCACCACCGACTGTGGTATCGTAGTCCAGCATTTCTGATGCGGAGGTATGGCGGGCGATGGTGTCATCTACAAAAGGAATGAGACGGTTGGGGTGGACTTGGTCCTTGTGTACAACGTAGGTGACGGATTGCGCCTGATCGGAAACAACAAGTCGACTGCCTTGAGTCTTGAGATCGGTGATACGTGTCGCTACACAGTTCGGGGCCTGAGCTTTACGAAGGACCGACTTCATACCACAGTCGTAAAGACACAGGTGACGACCAACACCAGCGATAAGCTTTCCCTTGAAAGCCAGTAGCGCTAGAGGTGGATCGCTGACCTCGGTCTCGTGGAAGAACTCCAGCTCGCGGCCAGTGGGGTTAATCTTGTACACCTGTATAGAAGCAGATGTGTATTTGAAGGGGTTGAAGCTCAAGTCTTTAGCAGTACCGACAGCTAGGAATGCTTCGTCACCGCGGCTCTCAAAGAAGACCAAAGCAGCACTGACAAGTGACTGGTTGCCGTTGAGCTCCACTGTGTGGGTGACGGTCTTCTCGCTCACAGGGTCGACCACTTGGATGCAAGAGGCCCAGCTGCCTTGAGCCCTTGGGTATCCAAAATCGATCGCTGGGAGTTCGTCGCCATCGGTTGTGCCGTTTGCCGTATCGTCATCCTCGGTCTTCATGGGGCCGTTGGTGCCGTCGGTCTCTTCCTTCTTCACACCAGCATGTGCTATCAGCTGTTGGCGTCTATCGGCGCTGATTGTGTTGTTATCGCTCTCGATGACGTAGAAGACACCCTGGTCGTGCCATCCGACCATCTTCCTGGGGGTGTACTTGAGAGGAATGTTCTCGTAGGTCGTGTTGTCCGTCAAGTCGTTGAAGGTGAAGATTCTGTTTCGTTAGCAACTGTTCATTTGTTTTGTAGTTTTGACAAAAATGAGTTGGTAACTGCTTTCAGTAGGAACAATTGGAAATTTTGTTTCAGCCTCATCTTGATTCGACGGTAGGAAACATACTTTCATCATTGCAGTTGGAGCGAAAGAAATAGGGGGTGCTTACCGTAACTCATTAGCGCTGACGCAGATGATTCCCTTGAACTGAGAACCATCAAAGTTCCAAGCGGACTTGAAAGGGATGTAGTTCAAGGGTGTCAGCTGCAGTACGCCGGTCCGGGGATGGGTGTAGCCTAGCCATGGCCTTGAGGTCATTGCGAGGATAGCAGGTTCGCCGGCAACAGTCACCTTCGCAAACTTGATAGGCTCGGGGCCAAGGAAGCGCCTCCGGGTGTCACCGATGTCTCCAGTCATCTCATCTAGTACTGATCGAATGTATACACCGCTTCGCAGACCAATGTGCAAGAACTGGCTGTATCCACGGGGCGACTTGTCTGTCATGAGGTTGATGGTCAGGTCGCTCGGCGGTGATGTAAGAGCTTGAACAGAGATGCTTCGTAGGATATTGCCTTCCATGTCAGGACTCAGATTGAATATCCGGACGGTCTGGTCGCTGCAGCCGACAGCCAAGAAGAAAGCTCGCACGCTGCCCTCTGGGACATCGGGCATGGCCAGGCAGTTGATAGTGCTGTCCAGGGCAATCTCCTCCTCGGCCATAGCAAGTGAACCATCAGAGTCGCACTCAAAGTACAAGATCTGGCCTGAACTCAGCGCGATGGCAACCTGTCGGTTGTTTGTAGCGCAGGCTACAATGGTACGATGGGCTGGAGGTTGCCAATCAGTCAAACTAGCATGTGTCGCGCTCGCATCTTCGTTGGGAAACTGGATACCCTGAATGTGGCGGATACCCTTGGGATGGATCTGGATGATACAGTCCTCACCAAATTGTTGCACACCGAGCGTGTTTGTATCTGGGAGGAAGCCAGTGTTAGAAGCTTCTTCGACATCATCGCCGATTTTCAGAACTAATGTTCTGCTGTGAAGGCACATCACGATGAGAGTGTCAGTCTCGTCTTCGCTGGTGAGCTTTGTAGTCCAAACATCTGACGCGTTTTGCGGCAAAGGCGACTCGATGAGGTCCAAAACCTCCAGAGCATTCCTGGTGGTGCGGAACGAACTTCGGCCTCCTGTACCATTGATCGTGTAAACCTGTGGCGCGTCTTCGAGGGCAGGGTTGGCAACCTCCATACCCATGATCGGGTTCAGACTTGCCATCGACTCTACTGCGGTGAGGTTGACTAGGGCTCGAGGCTTGAAGAAAGGAGGCGCGAAAGCAGTGTCCGGATCGACAGGAAACTGGTCGCTCTCGAACACGGGATCCTCTGTCTCGTCTCCCAACGACTCGAGCTCGTACAGAACGCGGTCCCCAGATTCGCAGGCAGCATACACGAAACCTGCCCTGAGAATGCAGATGCTGGTGACGACAGGAATAGTGTCAAAGTACTTGATCTTGATCTTGTCGACTGTGCCATTTGTTGCTTCCACGGTAAGCTTGAAGACGTCGCCATCCTCTGTTTGGAGGAGGTAGAAGAAATCGCCGCCCTTCAAAGAGTATAGGGTACCAGCAACAATCATGCGCTTACGGTTGGGGTCTTCGGTAGCTCCCTCACGACGCGGAATGGCCAATCGATGGACACTTGATTTGTTGTTGAAAATACGGCGGTAGGTGATGCTGTCCTCTCCACAGCACAGGACACCGCTTGGAGCGTTTGGACCTCCCGGTACCCGGAAGAGGGTATTGGCAGTCCGATCAACTGGCTCTGACCACTTCCGAACGATGTGGTTCAGACCAAGATCCAGCTCGTAGTATACCAGCTCCTTCTTGATCTCGTCGTACGCTTCGCCGGTAGGATCGGTCTCGGAGTTGGAGTAGTCCACCTCGAGAGTAGCGAACATGGGGTTGTCGTATCCGACATCGAGCCCGATGAGGCAGTACACTAGCGTCTGTGGCTTGTGTGCCTCTAGCGGTGAGGAGATGGCGATATCCGTCTGGCCACTTCGGGTGAGAATGTAGACAAGCTTGTTCTTCTCCGTTGAGGCGATCATGATAGCGCGCCCTTTCGGGTCGGCTGCCAGATACTCGCCGGGCACTACGCGTCGTATTCCAGACTTGCCGAACGTCTCGAAGTGGACCGTCTTGAAGGTGTGCTCATCGGGCATGTACTCATACGTGACTAACCGCCCTGAATCGGTGGTTATGACGATATGGTCTGACGGAGTCAGCAGAGGTTCTTGTTAATTGCAATCCAGTCCACCGCTGGCTCAGTGAGCTGGGAGCTCGGAGGTGTCGTGTGCTTTGAAAATCACTATACTGCTTGTAGCGGGGAGGTAGGACTGACATACCTTTGGTTCCGCCCGCGATCCTGAACTTGGCGATGCGGCGAATGATGCCAAAGACATCTTGCGAGTAGAGCTCTTGGAAGCCCTTCTGCCGCCGCGAGACCTCCAAGATAGCCAGCCGTGAACCGCTCGCTGTGAGGATTTGCTGCTTTCCGTTTCCGAGAAAGTCGCCGGAGATGGCGTCCTGTGTGGCTGTCGGCTGCTTCACCGTCAAGGCATACAGGGACATGGAGGAGAAGCTCGTCATGATGGGCGGCGGTGGGCGCTGGCCCAGTTACTCTCGTCGCGTCGAGGTCTTGAGCGCGAGTGGGAAAAGTTCAAAATTAAGTCGCGACAATCGAAAGTAGTCCTCGAGCTTGCAGAGTGTGGTGCGCGCCGGTGTCAGGCAGCGCAGCTGAAGAGTTGCGGGCGCAAGTTGTCGAGGCTCGTGAGAAAGATTTACGCGCGAAGAGGCCAGAGCTTCTCGGCCTAGTGTCGGTCCGCCCTGGCCAATTGGTGGGATGGGCCCCACTAAAATTTCATGTCGCAAAGTCCTCGAAGGCGCATACAGACGACGCTCTCGATAACTGACACAACCACGATTACCGTATATACACCATGAAGCGCAAAGTTGGCGCCCTAGAGAAGCTCGAGTCCGACCATGCGGCACTCCGATTCAAGCTGAAGCGAGACCCTCAATCGTACAGAGACGACTTCGAGCAGCAGTACCAGCAGTACCGAACCCTCCTCGACCTGTTCCTTGCCGACCCGAGCACCTCAGACAGCGGTTTGGTTGCGCTGAAGGATCTCATTGAGTTCGTCTCGCATACCTCGGACCTCTATCCCGATGTCGCATCAGAGTTCCCCAGGGATCTCGAGCTTCTGCTCACCCACCATGAGGTGCTTGAGTATGATCTAAGGGACAAGATCGTCGGCGCATACTGCTTGCTCAAGCGTAAGGAGGTTATAGACTCGGTCAAACTCCTCAACACACTGTTCCCGCTCCTTGTGGCGACCAACAGCAAGAGTCTGCGACAACTGCTCTACACCAAGATTATCTCAGATCTACGTTCGTCCAACGCGAAGACTGTGAACCACAAGCTGAACAAGTCTATGCAAACGGCACTTTACAAGTACGCAGTATCCTCCCAATGCTTGGCGTTCCCAACTAACCGTCCCAAGTCTCTTAGAATCCGACACCTCCTCGCCGAAGGGTCTCTGGGCCGTGAAGATTACCAGAGAGCTGTGGAAACGACAGATATGGACAGATGCGCGCGCTGTCGAGGTCATGCGACTGGCAGCACTGAGCGATAACGAAAAGACCATCTCGGGCGGCCTCAGGTTCTTCCTCGGTGGTGACCAGGAGCGAGAAGCCGCCGCAGAGGAGAGCAGCGATGACGACAACGATGTGGACATTGGAAAGCTGAAGCACGCGGCCGGAATCAACAAGAAGAGCAAGAAGAAGGCGCGCGACATCAAATCCGCAGCGACCTCTCTCAAGAAGAAGGCAAAGAAGAAGAACGCACCCCACCCCCTCAACTTCAGTGCGCTACACCTTCTCCACGACCCTCAAGGCTTCGCCGAAACCGTCTTCTCGAAGCACATCCAGAACACCAAGGCCAAGCTTGCCCTCGAGACGAAGCTACTGGCACTGCAACTTGTCACTCGCCTCGTTGGATTACATCAACTCACAGTCCTTCCGCTATACTCATACTTCCTGAAGCATCTCACTCCTCGGCAAGCCTCAGTCACCACTTACTTGGCGTGCTTAGCGCAAGCGACACATTCGTATGTACCGCCAGATGTGCTTGAGCCGCTTGTGCAGAAGATCGCGAACGAGTTCGTGTCAGAAGCATCAGCCTCTGAGGTCGCGGCAGCAGGTCTGAATTCCATTCGTGAGATTTGCGCACGTCAGCCATTGGCCATGACAGATACTCTGCTTCAAGACTTGGTCATGGTGAGTTGGCTCCCTAGAACCCGATGCCATACTCTATACTAACGCTTATTAGTACCGTAAATCGAAAGACAAGGGCACAATGATGGCCGCCAAAGGTCTCCTCTCCCTCTACCGCGAAGTCGGCGCCGACCTCCTTAAGAAACGCGATCGTGGCAAGGATGCGACAATGGGTATCCGCGCTGGTACTATCAAAGAACGCCGTTATGGTGAAGAAGCTATTGGAGAAATTGAGGGCATCGAGCTGCTCGAGAAATGGAAGGAAGAGGAGCGCAGGAAGAAGCTCATAGAGGCTGGTCTGGATCCCGACGCAGACAACGGCGACGTCGACCTCGACGACGAGGACGACTGGAAGAAGTGGGACGTGGAGAGCGAGGGCGATAGCGACGACTCAGGCGGCTGGATCAACGTCGAAAGCGACGGCGAAGACATCCAAATCAGCGACTCAGAAGACGAAAAGGACAAGAAGGAACGCCCCGCAAAGAAAGCCAAACTCGACAGCGCCACCCCCGGCCCATCAACAGACGACAAAGAAAATTCCAAGAGCGCCGAACCAGAAACAAAGTCCCTCTCCAAACTCCTCACAACCACCATCCTCACCCCCGCCGACCTCAAACAACTCCAAGCCCTCCGCGCCTCCAGCACAATAACCTCCACCCTCGCCGGCTCCTCCAAGCGCGCCCAGCTCCTCGCCGCCCGCCACGCCGACGAAGCCATCACCGCCGAGACCATCGAACTCGCCGCCAAAATCGGCAAGAAGAACACCAAGGAAGAGAAGATTGCTCTTGCCAGGGCCGACCGCGAAACGAACCACACTTCCAAAGCGGCGAAGCACCAGGCCAAGAAGGTGGAAGAGGGCAAGAGTACGACGAACAAGGAGAAGGCGCGTAAGAAGAATTTCCTCATGACGCTGGGTAAGGCGAGGTTTAAGAATAAGCGCAGTTTGGGGGATGTTAAGAGGACGATGCAGGGGCATGTTGAGAGGAAGAAGAGGGGTGGTAAGAGGGGGAATAAGGGGAATTAAGTGGGGTTGTTTGTGTATACGGTGATGGGGGTTTTTGTTGTGTTATGGATTGGTATGTGTTATCAGATGGATGGAAGATCGCATGTTCTTTTCATGGCAGACGAATGGGAAAAGGGAAAAGTAACTTGATACCCAGATAGAATATGGATCATGAAACATGAGTTATCCCGTTCTTAAGTAGTCCTAGGACCTAACATGATGCCGGGAATCGCACCTTCAACGCCCATGCCACCTTCTTTTCGCCACTTGCCCATGGCAACCATACAAGGGAATGCTGTCCCCCATACATCGAACATACACGTACATTCTGTTCAGATGCTCCTCAACTCCCCAGTAAACACCCACACTCTGCACAGCTCTCATACGCATGCTGTCCAGTCCACTCACTCGTCCACAGTCGGTGTCGCATCATCATTCGCTTCAGCTTCCCCGCCTTCACCAGTAACGCGTGGTTCGAAACGAAACACCGGCCTTCGGGCACAAAAGTCGCTCGAGCTTTCACTGTGGAAGCTGCTTGAAGCATGGCCATTACCGGGGACTTGGAGTTCGCCGGCCTCAGAGATAGGTGCAGGTCGTATAGGGGCGCTGCGCTTGCTGCGGGAAGAAGAATGCTTGCCGTTGCCGTGTTGAGACGAAGCGTCATCCTTGGTAGTTGGTGTGATTGGAGAGCTGGCAGAGCGGGGAGGTAGTTTGATGGGAGTTCTCATGTTTTTGGCAGGAGTGAACGGGTGACTCATGTAGTTCATAGTCTTGGGGTTGTCATTGGCCGCCTTGGACATTTGTTCGAGTGTCTGTGGGGATCCGCGTTGTATAGGTGTGATGAGAATACCCTTGTGCCTCGTTGACGTTGCTCCCGGGTCCGAGATCGACTGTGGTGGGGTTTTGACGACGATGTCTTTGGCGCGAATCATGGCCTTGGTACGATTGTATTGCATTGCCTCACTAAAGGTCATAGGCGCGGGGGCGACCATCTTTCCATCAGAGCTGCTCGCTATCGGTGATGATGCAGGTGCGACCGCGAACGCATCCGCAACACCATGCCCTGTACCATCTTGCCACATGTCAGCATCAGCAGAAAGAGCCTGACGCACTGTATGGTCCTTTGCTTTCTGAACATCCATCGCGGGAGTGATGATGGGCTGTGCGTGGGTCGTCAGACTGAGAGCACCGTCGCTGTTGTTCTTCATTCTCTTGCGCGAGCTCTGTGATTCAGCCTCCATCCAAGCACTCATATATTGATTCTGGATCTGAACCATCATCGATATATCGTTTTGTAGACCCTTTTTGTCGGTAGAGTGTGGATAGACTTGTAGCAACGATGTAATAAGTGAGGTGTGCTCGATGAGGTGACTGACGAGGAGGTTGGGATCTGGGTCTCGATGTACCGTTGGCGTGTGATTCCTATGTTGGTCAACGTTGCGTACCCTGGACACAGGTGTGGCATTCGATTGAGTGGTCGGACGGCTCGATTGCGGTCGAGCGTGCCGCTGATGTTCTCTGGCTTCATCATCGCTGGTTTCAGCAAGGTCAGCATCGGCGAGCTTCCTCTTCTGTGGGGAAGGTCGTGAGTACTCTTGGATGTGATGGACAGCTCTCCTCCGGAGCGAGTATTCATTCTGAGAAGGAACAATTGGGTGGGCGTAGGTGCTAGGAGGAACTTGGACATGATACTGTTGCGCGTATAATGCCTGATACTGTGGCGCGTGTTGCGCAAGGACCGGCGCGGAGAGTGGGTATTGTACTTCGAAAGGTACGTTGAGCGTGTGTCGGCCCCATGCTGCGTTCGGACTGACATCAGGCGCGGCGGTGATCTTGGCGCTCATCATCCGATAGATATCGTGACTCTGATGTCCGGTGAATGTGCTACCGTTCGCAGGCATGGCTGCTAGTGCTGGTCTGGAGACACCGTAACTGTATAGTTCCCTATATCCGTTGCCGATGAACTGATGCGGTTCCGAAAGCTTTTTGTGTTTCTGTCTGCGCTTCGGGGCTCGCGTTGCTCGCCTTGGAGGTAATGGATCCTCGTTGACGATGATGGGGTTGTGGCTGCTGCCGCTCATGTTCGCGAAAGGCTTAGGTGCGAGTCTCCGCAGGGCGGAGGAGACAGTTCGATCGGTGGGATCAGTTGAGCCTTGTCGTTTCCTCGGCGTCGTGACAGTGAGTACCTCTGGAGACTCGCCGGTGCTTGGGGATGTGAGACTGAGATCATGCTCACTAATGTTGCCGGAGAGCGCCATTCTAGGAGGAGTCTCTGGCACTCTGCGATTCTTCTGAGTTTTCTCGACCTTCTTGGCGCTGGGAACGATGATATGTATGGTGTCGCTCGCCTGTCGGAGCGGTCTGGGCCGTCCAGTGCCAGTCATTTCCGGCTCTGCGTTTGCAGTGCCTCGCCGAGTGGACACCATGTTCAATGTTTGTCCTGGTTCGTCAGACCTTCACCGCTCAGTTGATTTCAAATTCGCCTTACCAGTTCCCAACTCACGTCGCCGGAATGGTACAGCGCTGTGCCGGATTAGGGTGGTGAAGATGAGAGTGTGATTATTGGCGACCCTCTCCTTTCGGCTTCGAGGCGGAGCGGAGCAGACGACGATAGCGGTGAAGGCGAGAATAGAGAGCGAGATGATGAGTCGCAAACAAACTTATGATGTTGCCTACATGTATGTAGAAGGTGCACTATGTGTGGGAAGGGACATCCGCTGTTTGAAAGGAAGGCGCGACGCACCGCGACCAACAGCAAGAAGGGAATCTCTGCATGACACATCGCAAACGAAAACAAATGAAATGAACGACGAGACGGAAAGGAAAGACACTGATACCTCATGCGCTCGCCGTTGGTGCTACGCGGGGCAGCTCTCATCCTGCGGTCAGAAACGCGCGAAGTTTAACCAGCTCTTCCACATCATCCAAATCATTGACGACACGATCGATAGCACCATCATCCCAAGCGATGCCATGCCAAAGCAGCACACCCATGTCTCTCATCATTCTCACGTCGTCCATTCGAGCTTCCGACATCGGTGCGGCGTCGATCAAGCGCGCCCAAAACAGCTCACGAAGTCGCGTCGCGCCATTGAAGTAGGTCCATTTGGGCACAGATGTAGGGAGGTCTAGTGAGATGGTTCCAAGGAGATGCTCGAGTCCGTACAGGCAGGTCCCGAAAGGTAAGTACTCCGCCTCCGCCCAGTCTACTAGGCCTGTGATCTCCCAGGTGTTCTGGTCAACCAGGATATTAGATGGGATGAGGTCCCCGTGATTGAGTACTACTGGGTATTCTTCCATTCGCTGTATCGCGCGCATTGTCTCTCGCGCTCTTTCGCGTAGGTATGCATCCGGTAGCTCATTAGCCAGCCTCTCAAGTCTTGAGACAATCGTTGAGCCGACCTTGCCGCGGCACTGCGCGAGCATCGATGGATGCTCATCCATGGGTGAATCTGCTCGCGTTGTTCTGGTGATACACTGTACTTTATGTGGTGAGTGCCAGCTTTGCGCAATAAGATCCGCGAAACTTGTGATGAGACGCTCTAGTTGCCTTCCAGCGCGAGCATCGAGGGAGTGTCCATGCTGTTGTAATCGACTCAGCGGCGTGCCGTCAACCTTTTTCATCTCGTATGCGCATATGCCTCTGGGTAGTGTTAATCCGAGATCCTCGATGGTGGGGGCTAGTGCTGGATGCGCTGTGCTAGCAGCGCGTACAATGTTGAGGTCGAGGGCGTGCTGCGGCGGCCGAAGCTGGACGATGAGAGCAGGCTCATCATCACAACCCACCTCTGCGGTAGCCTGATGCCGGGTGTTTTCCACCGCAAAAGCGACTTTTGGTGGCGTGACCAGAAGGGAGTAGCTACAATAACCCTGTTCGCTATACTCATCAACTTCATAGTCTCCATAGCGATCTCGCACAGCTTTCAGGCAAATATCCTTATCCTCCAAATGCAATCCGAAGCGATTCCAGAAGTTTGGGGACGTCATCGATGGTGCAACCTGAGCGTGTTTGGGACGAAGCCCAAGGACTCGAGCCCCGTCGCGAGTTTAAGGCGACGCGAATCATCCCGTCTCGCATTATCCGTGACATTCTGCCGTAAGCCCTGTCGCAACACATACGAGAGCTAGAAGTCGTATGGTGTGTCGCACGCAGTCGTGGTTCGCTGGGAGTTTGCACGTGGAAGTTGGCGTGGGAGGAAGCAGCGAGGAAAGCGGGGATGTGGGGTGAACACTCGGACGAGGCGTCGTCGCAATCTTCTCCACTCTCCACCCATCGCACCAGCCTAGTGGGAGGGTCAAACGCTACTACATCATGGCGGATGAGCCGACCGTGTCTCTACAGTCTGACGGGCTCCAGCCTGGCCATGACATCTTTTGCACACCCAACAACGATGCGTTTCACGCGAGTAGCCTCTATTCAGAACTGGATGTCGCTCAGCAAGAAATCCGCCTTGTCAAACTCTGGCCTGGCACTAAAGACGATATCATTAAATGCACGTTACTCCCGGGTGCCCCTTTGCTTAACCTGCAAGGCCAATATACGGCTCCTTCCTACTGCGCTGGCTCTGCAAAGAATACTGAACCCATCGTCCTCAACGGTACAACCTTCAACGTGTTCGCAAATCTGGCACATGCTCTGAGGGAAGTCCGTCAATTTTGGAGCACTTCATATGGTGACAGAGAATGTCTACTGTGGGTTGACCAGATCTCGATAAATCAGTACGATATCAACGAGAGATCGTCACAGGTGCGATTCATGCGCGAAATATATCAGTATGCAGAGCAAGTTCTTGTCTGTCTGTCGACGCAAAGAACCGACCCAAAAGGCATGAGTTGGCTTGTTGGCTTAGCGAGCGACGTCCGCTCCCGTGGGTTTGATGAGATTCCAGAGAAGGAACGGCGTCGCTTGATCAGATCGAATAGGGCTCAGGTCAATCCGGACCTCGCCACTTTGGTTGACGACGACCACCAATACCGCATAGTAAATCACATTCGCGAAAATGCAAGGAATGCAACCTTCAGACAGGGATGGTTTGCTTCATATGAGATCACCGAAGCACCCTGGTTTACCAGAGCCTGGGTCTTTCAGGAGTTCATTGTCGCAGCAAATGTACACTTCATGTATAGTGGAGTATATGCGTCCTGGCAAACCCTTCTGCCAACATGGACAGCGATCTGTTCTACCGGTGAGTTTACACTCAGAGTGGCAATCTCTTCTTTGGCGGGCGAGCATGGCCCTACTTTGGATGGTCCTGAACGACGCGATTCGCGTCGCCTTCTCGCGCACCTTCGGCGTAATGAGTCAAAAATAGCCAGGAAAGTATTGGCATTCATGATGGAAATCAAAGCCCACTGGTGCGAGAATCGGAATTTTGTGGATCTCCTGGCGCATTCCCGCAATCGCCATACTTCAGATCCAAGAGACAAAGTATATGCATATATTGGTTTGGCCAGTCCGGATTATGGGATCGTGCCAAACTATTCTCATCCTATCGACCAAGTTATGATCGATACAACTATCAGGATCATAGAGACAGAGAATAGCTTAGATATTCTGTGGCATACTGCAGCTTCCGAGACACAGCATATTACCAATCTGCCATCGTGGGTGGCTGATTGGAGGTGCAAGCAAGACCTTTGCGCTCCAGCGAAGCCATACGACAATGCACTGAAGACATCCAAAGCAAACGCTTCGTTTTATACTGTCAAAACAGCTCGTGGAATTTGGCAGGCCTTGCAAGTCAGTGGTGTCTGTATCGACAGATTAGACAAAGATTCAGAGAGACGTATGTATCACCACTCGTATAGATCTGTCAAAGGCTTTGGCGGTGCTTGCTCCCGTGAATCTCAAAAAGACGATGAATTATGGGATTTGAGGGGCTGCAGATGGCCGGTAATATTACGTCCCCAAGACAAATATGGCTACAAACTGGTATCAGTTGCAAGTTATGGGCACGACTACCTCAGGAGGTCCGGTTTTGATATCTGGATGACGGAACGGACACAGGAGGAGAGGAAACAACAGGGAGACTGGCGAAGCATATCTATAATATAGTCAAGATATTGACCCCACAGACCCAATTGACTATTTTGACCTTTCATCAAATACCATGGCGAAGCTACAGCATCCATCGATGCATATCATCGTACTTCTGGCGTGGTCAAACATCGTCACCACCATGTGTCCTCACTCAGAAGCGTTTCTTGTGCTGTGAAACTACATTGATCCACACGACCTTCACAATGCAGACCTCACGCCAGTTACATCAGAATCTGCCTGTGATGGGTTGTAATGGGCAATAGAGAGAAAACATACAACACAGCCAAACAACATCTCAAGACGCCTACCTGTACAAGATGTCCATCTCCAATATTCATGCAACAGACCAGACCCACCAATGCTCTCACGGAAGAAACAAGATTGAGGAAGACAAGGTCATAAAACCAGCGCCTGCGATGATGCACGGGTCCGTCGATACTACGCCCCCCTCTACCTCGACCTCTATGCAACCAGACTGTGCACATTCAGGTCTTTCGTCGGAAAACGAACTGCCTATCCCCTCCCTAGAGGAGCGACAAGCCGGTGAAGATGTTATTATGGCAGACATGCTAACAGCTATGCAACTAGAGGGCATGGAGGTAAGCACTCCTTCCTCTTCGACCAAGTGGACCAATATGGGCGTAGAAGCTGATTGGGAAACCAGCTCAATCCCAGCTGAGCTGGACGAACAACAACCCGAGAGCCTTCATGCTTCGGACAGGTCAGCCCATAGCGACTCCTTGACAGCTACAGGTTTCGCAGATGACGAGCAGACCGCGCAGCCCGAGGAGTACACAGACGATTTCGACTCTCTCTCGGATTTTGACATCGACTTCAGCGAGCTTCTCCCATCGGATTTCCCCGATTTCCCCTTCGACGATTTGAATGACCCCTCGGACGAAAAATGGGCAGAGATGCTGAAAGAAGTCGACGCATGGAACAAAACACACAACGGCGCAGCCGAAGAAGATGCTCACACCAACACCGCTCCCGGCGAAGCCTTCACATACGCCGTCGACCCATTCACCCCCGAAATCTGCAAAGCAGATCTAATCCGCTGCCCCATCTCCATCCCCACACCAGAAACCGACATCCTCGCCCACTTCTCCACAGAGTACGTGCGCTCAATGCGGCTCCTCAAAGTAAAGTACCGCTGGTACCACTCCAGCCCCTCAGACTGGCAAAAAGAAGTCACCACCCTCATCTCCGGCATCTCCAACGCATCCAACGGCTTAGAACCCTGGCTACCATTGCACAAATGGCTCGTACTATACCATCGCCTCATGCAAGGCGCGACGGCCCGTGAGCGTTACAAAACCAAGAATTTCTTGCTGAAGAAGTTGGAGGCGATGGCTAAGATGCGGATGGAGGAGAGTAAGGCGGCGG